TTATTCATCTTAAATGCTTGCTTTTGGCAACATCTTGTCTTACCAGTTTTTAACTCCACCTGTCGCCAGCTCAGACTTTTGCCTTTCTGTGGGCATGATATCTCCACAACACTTCCATCCCAAAAGCTGGGACTATAGGAAGGGTCTTTATCCAAACAAAGATTAATCAAGAAACAGATGGGTCTATCAACACTTTTGCATGAATCCGATGTGAAGCTAAGGCGTGTTTGTGCTCCCTGAGAGGTGAGACAGTTTGGAGGACTGGATAGAGCCTCTTCAGCGTCATGTGCCTCTGCTTACTGTCCTCCGACTGCACAAGGGTTGGGAAATGTGATGGCTGGGTACTCGGGTGACAGGCTCATTAAAAGGGGATGAGAAGGAAGCTTTACCTTAGCATTGGCATGGGATTTTGAATTTTATTTTTATTGCAGAGCCCGTTGAAATGAGATTCTTTTTTAACGGTGGTCTATCAATTACTGACTCCCACTGTCGGCAGTGCCCTGAGAACTCGTTTCCCAGGATTTGATTAGGTTTTGGAAATGTGTGCTATGCCCGACATGCGAGCAATGGTCACACACAGATGAATAGAGGTAAAGACACCCCAATGGAATAAACAGATCTGCTTCCCCGGGTGTGGAAATACAGATGTTTATTTTCATACAGGTTTGTATCCTATATTCCCGTATGTCCCCCATCCACACCTCCTATAGCCGTATCCCTTTCAGAGTGAGAGTCCACCTCTAATCTGGCATGTCAAGCTCCTTCTCTTGTTTTCCTGCTGATTAGGAAAGAGACACTTGACAATATGTGTGTGATCTGAAACTTAGGCCAAGCAAAACAAGCAACCATTAGCTCCCCCTGAAATATATATCTCAATAAGGGCATTCCTCCATTCAAGCCACCGACTGTCACTAAAATTGCCGGCCGGCCATGCAGGAGCACAGGAGCTGTGCTCTTACAGCAAACTAAGGTAAAAAAGCCATCCCTCCCCACAGAAGAAAATCCAGACCATTTTTTTCCATATAGTTTGGTTATTTTGGACGTCATAACTTTATTGAGACACCAGTAGTTACCACCTTCACTTTGTTAACCACAAATATATAGGACATTGTAAACACAGGTGCCGAGGTGGCGGGGTTCGCTGTAGTTGGATTTTGGATCGGACGGGGGCGAGGGGTGGAGGGGGAGGAGGGGTGAAGGGACACTCGGGCTTACACAAGACCACTCAGGGGATCCTGTATGCGGCAGGCCATCCATGAGTCATCGTATATACGTATATATGTATAGCTTTATATTATACATCTTTTTAAATATATATATATAATATATATACTATACACAGGCAGTAATGCGGCAGGGGAAGGGGCAGGGCAGCCCAGGCGGTGTTACATATGGATGCCACGCAGGCAGCAGGGAATTGTCTGGATGGACGGTTTGGACTTGCTGCATGAAGTGACCTCACTGGGCTCCTTGCCTTGTACCTGCTCTGGGGACCAGGAGCCGAGACTCCTGTGGAAACCCCCCCCTCACCCCCCGCAACACTGCCTTCCCAGGTCCTCCCAAGTGCTTGCAAGGGTGCAGGGACAAAGATGCCCACTCCCCTGAGGGAACTGCCGGGAATAACGCGGAGGGGAAGGGTGTGCGGTGAGGTGATGAGCAGCGCGGGGGGGGGACGTGGGTGAGCCAGGGATGGGGACACATCGGGAGGCTGAAGCTACAGGTAGAACTGAGGCAAAGTTTCATCATCCCTTTGCCCTTCACAGTCCCTACTTCCACAAACCAGTCCCTTACCTGGGGGCTTCATAAGATAAGAAGACATCAAGAGGCCATTGCTCGCAACAGGGGATGCGTAATCCTCTGTAATCCGAACAAATGGCAGAGGGGGAAGAAAGCTGCCTTATCGTTTTGCTTATACAGCCTTCCCTCTGATCTCCTAATCCCTAGAGTGGGGCTGATCTCACCCACGTTTAGCATCTAAAAGGGACATGTTCCACCCAGCTGCTCAGGTCTTGCCTATGATCACCAGAAACAGGCAGCACCTTATCAGAAGTGCCTAAGATAAGATAACCAACCCTTTGGGTAGGTCCGGATCTCTCATCAGCTGCAGAACCAGCCAAATGCCACTGGAAATTGCATTTTAAAGAGCTACATGCAAACAAGGAGAGTCCCACCCCCAGGTCTGTCACCACCAACCCTCCGCTGCAAAGGCTGAAAGCACGGCAACCCAAAGAGAGTACGTCTTCTCCCACGAACAAAAGCAAGAAGTTGCCCAAGTATCTATGTTGCAGTGTCCCCTGCCATGCCAATGCCTTTCCTACGACAAAAAGTAAGGAGGAGACGGACAGAAAGATGGGCAGTAACCCAGGATGAGGCCACCTGGCTCATGTCTCACTGAAGTGCCAGCTCTGAGCAGGAAGGCTCATTCCTACGTCAAGCCCACCGGAGCCCATCAGTTGGTTACGTGAGGGAAGCAAGCCAGAGAGGATAAAGAAAAGCTTGCTCATTATTCAGCCCCAGTGTTTAGCTGTCTGTAGAACGCTGATGGGAGAAGGGCCATGTAAGATGCCCCTGTGTTACACCCCAAAAACAGAGCCCCACGGAGACCCCACGCATGGTCCGCACCTCTCCCCATGCACCTGGTCCCCCACCAAGGAGAGGGGACAAGTGATGGGCAGTTCCTCCCCAAAAGTACAACACATTTTTGTGCTGAGAACTAGTGATTTATAGCCTCCTCCTCTTCCTCTTGGTTCCCCCCCACAAATGAAGGTATGAAGGATGACACAGATGAATCTGGGTGAGTACAAGTAGTTTTCCTCCTCCTCCACCTTGTCATTTGTTCTTTCCTCTCCCCCGGCAGGAGAGACAGACTGGAGGGAGCTCCCCCCACAGCCACTGTCATAACGAACCTCTCTCAATAAAGTAACCCCCTCCCAAGCCTAAATATTAGGCTGAGCCCACAGAAAAAGAAGCCCAAGGGGCTTCCCTCCAAAAAAATACCCCTCCTATTTACAATATTGCTTTCTCTCGCAGCCACAGAGCGAGGGATGTGTGCCCAGTCCCTCCTGGTACATCCACAGGGCTAGCTGGTCCTCCTCTCCCATCCTCACCAGTGGTTAACCACCAGCAAGGGGGGGGACAAGCCATGGGGAGGACGAGCCATGGGGACAGCCACCGGCAGCACAAGTCTGCTGGGAAGAGCAGGTAGAAACGGTGCCTATATACAGCTGAGACCAACTGCCCCTGTTCCCTCCTGGGGCTTGCAGCTCTGCTACGGTTTCTGCCCCTTCCCTATCGTTGTGGGGCAGCTGGAGAGAAGGAGGGGAAGGACTGGTAACCTCGGTGTCCTCCAGATGAGATGCTCACACGACCACAGGCCAGACCTCTGTCCCATCCTCATGACTCCTAAGGGTGCTACGGGGAATAGGCTGGACGCTCAGGGGGAGCACCTATGGATTTTAGATCTGCTCCTTATCTCTGCTACTTGGGGCCAGTGTTGTGTGGAGCAGGGTGGCTGCCTGGGGGATGGAGCTCCTCATTGCTGCAAGGCGTACCCTGCTTCTTGTGCTTTGGGATGTCTGTGCTGTGGAGAATTGCTGAATTATTTCCCTTTAGGGACCATCTTCACACATAGACCTTACTTCTATCCTGGAATAAAAGAGTGTGCTCCCACAGCTGTGTCTTTACTTGAAGCAAAACCAGGAGGAGTGGGGAATAATGTCCAGACGAGCTCTATCTGAGAGTCAGCACTGCCACCTAGGTGAGGCTTTAAAGACAGCCAGGATCTGAGATGCTGCAGAAGACGCACTAAGGTATAGTCTACATAAAGTACAGCAAGACCAGTTTTCAGAGAGCTCCGTCTGGCCCCAAGCAATTCTCTGCACACCAAGATCTCCTCCCCATCTGAGTGAGAGGCAGGACCCTTCCCTGCTTGGTTGCAACCCCGGGCAAGAGCCAGACGCACGCTGGCCGTCCCAGCAGCAGTATTTCTTTCCTGGGGGAGTCCTGCTCCATTCCTGTGTGCTGCAAAGACGGCGTCAGCAAGAGGCTTTGCACTGTGGTAGCAGAGGAATGGAGGAGGGTTCAGCAGGACCTGAGGAGCAAAACTGGCTTGCTTCTCCTCCTCCTGCCCAGGGTGAAATGGCAAAGCTCTCCTCTCCCCCTCGAACCAGCCCAGCTGGGGACAAGGGCTCTCAGGACCCCCTAGAAGCCCACCTCCTCCATCCTGCCTCCCACAGGCACTGCGTCTGGGGGCCAGGGACTGGGCATGGCTCCCCTCCTGCCTCACCAAACGCTGGTCTAAGAGTGGCGAGCAGGATGTACAGGCGAGGAGAACCACCTCCACCTCAATCCAAGGGGGCTGGGGAAGGAGAATCTCTCTTGGCACGGCCCCTCTGCTCTGCTGAGCCTCTTGCTGTAACCTACAGACGTGCCTGTGGTTTTTCATTGTACCTGCAAATCTTCCTCCTTCCCATTTTATCTCTTTGTGCCCCTCCCCATACCCCTTCTCCCCAAACCCTCTAAAAATAAAGCACCCCTCCCACAGTACCATGTGGCAGAGGAAAGCCGCCCTGTCTTTGCACGGGGGACGCCGTTCCCGCTCCCCTCCAGCCCCCCTGGACCCTCGCACTCCCGCACACTGACTCCAACACCGTCATCCCTCTCCCTCAGCCGCCAGGCCCTCCAGCCCCGTTGGGATGCTCCCACGTCTACTCCAGCCTTTAGTGACACCGTCTCTTCTAGGAAGGTCCCCGGTCCCTCTCACACCTTCCCTTCTACCTCCAGCACCCTCTCCCCTGCCCTGCTGGTGCCGCAGCCCCTCTCCTGCCCACCGGCCAGACTCTGCCCTCCACAGCAAGGCAGGAGGGAGAGGAGGGAAGGAGAGACCTTCCTGTCACAATGTGGTGACAGATTTTGGAAGAATTTGGATCCGGCAGGTAGTTTTAGGGGGGGAGGAGAAGGAAGAGGTGATGGGGAAACCTTTTTTTCTTTTTTTTTTTTCCTTTTTTAAAAACGATAAATAAAAACAGATGACCCAGAAGGCTGGAGCATAGCTGAGAGCCACCTCTTGTGCCACTACGCACGTCTCTGGTTTGTGCCTTGGCTTTCTGCCGGCAGCGGGAAAGGGGACAGAAGGGAAAGGGGAAGGGAAAGGGGCATCGGTGGCTCAGTAGTTCTGCGTTTGGTACCCCTGTGTCTCGGTGTCGAAAGCATCTGCCGGAGGGGGCTGCTGGTACGTCCCCACCGCATCTGTAGCATCCTCCTCGTTCGTGTAGGGAGCATAAGGCATGCCGGAGTCCTGGCTTGGGTCCATGTAGTCCTGGGAGAAGAGGGCCGAATCGGCACCCAGCTGGAAACGCTGATACGCCAGGAATGCCTGGCCCACCTTTAAGGGAGGAGGTGGAGGGAAGAGATGGGAAGCAGAGAGGGGAGGGGAGAAAGAGAGGGGGGAACGTACCGAGAAAGAGAAACAAACAAAAGTGGGGTTAGTAGTGGTTACGGATTAGTGCGCGAGACCCGCCTGGCAGACCGCTGGTGAAACAAATCCAAGAGCGTGGAGGTTCAGACTGCCCCACAGAAAACACGAGCCCGCCGGGAGAGAGGAGGGCTGGGCAGGGATGGCTGCGAGCTGCGTCTCTGGGGTGTGCTGGGCACCTCCTGCCCGGCGGTTGGGGTTTCAGCGACACGGCACAGGTCGCAGAGGCTCAGTTGGCACGTGGTTATCCCACTCAGCACCTCCTGCCCCTGGGAAGGCAGTCTGCCTCAGCAGCACCGCAGAAAGTTCGTCTGCTGGGCTGGATGTACGCAGCCGTTTTGCCTGCGGAGGCCAGGAAGGAGAGCGGGATTTGACCCGGAGTAGCGAGGTAGTGGTCACCCCCTGTAAGCCCTTCACCGGACAACGTCCGCACGGTGCAGCACGGATCTTGGGAAGGAGCAGCAGGAGGCAAGGCAGCTGCTTGCCGGACCAGGGGATGGTTAGCAAGTGTACTTCTGCCTCCTGCTCCAGGCACCGCAGGCAGGACACCCTTTTTGGTGGACTGAGGGAGCCCGGGCATGGGGTTCAGCATCGCGGACCCCAGCAGGCATGGCTCGTTGTCCCAGAGCATCCCTGATAGAGGTGAGCAGTCTAGCAGGTGACAAGGGGAGAGGTTTTTGGGGAATAAGGGCTGGGAGGAAATGGAGGAGATAAGTGGTAGGGGCAGAGGGCTTCTCCTGGCTGAAGTATTAGATCTGAGCAGTCATCAAAAGAAAGGCACAGCAGTGTTAACGCAGCATTAGTTAGGGTACGGGTGAGGGAGAGAAGGGAGCAGAGGAGGAGGAGAAGAAATTGCCAGTTCCAGCTCCCCAGAGGGAGATCCCCCCTTCAGTGGCCAACCCCAGTCCAGTTCAATGGCCAATGTCTTCCCACCCCGTGCCCTGCAGTGACCACACACCCATGGTCGGGGCATTGGAACTGTCTCTGCTCAGTAACCTCCTCCAGCTGCAACCCTCCACCCCTTCCCCAAAATTCCCCCATCACCAAGGGGCACTAAGGCAGCAAGGATGGGGAGGTAGGGAACAGGGTGTTGTATTCTTCCTGAAAAGTAATGTCTCTGAGTCTCCGGAAAGCCAGAAACGTGAGGAAGCCCTGTGAGGAGAGAGAGGGGTGTGGGAAGGAAAATCAGTAAGGAAGAGCAAACCAGAACATTTGATTGAAATAAAACCCCCAAGGAACCAGGGGAAGAGGATGCCTATTTATCCACTTGCAAGCCTGTGCATCAGGGCAGACCACTGCCAGTGGTGGCACCTCAAAAAGGGTCGCATGGGACCCCTTGCAAAAGCCTTGCTCCTTGTCACACTTTCTGCTGGAGCTTGCAAGGGGCTTTTGGCAGCACTCGAGCGCAGGACACAGCTCGTGGCGGGGGGACACACGCTGCCGTCCCTTGCCCCCGCTTGGTGTCACCTTGCCGAGGGTGCTGACCGCACAACCCTTTGCAGCCCCCCTTCTTCTCTGACAGCTTCGTGGTCTTACGGCACCCTTCCTACCTGGCCCCCGCCCAACATTAAGGCCTGAAGGGAGAGGAGACGATAAAGCCACAAGGACTTACGCATGGAGACTGGCCTAAAATGCTTTCCTGCTTGGCACAATCTTGTTACTTCAGCCAAAAATCACGCGGGCTTGGTGCTTTCAGAGACGGGTAGAAATCGTAGGGGATATTCATATTGCACACCACAGTTTTTCCAGGAAACTAGCAACAAAGAAGTGCCGGGGAAAAGGCTGTCTTAAGAGACAGCACTATCACCTTCCTAAGAGGTGACCCAGTGAGGCGGTACTGCAGTCATGGGTGCAGACGGAGAGCCCAGAGGGACGACGATCGATCGCATCCTCTTGTGGCCACTGATGACATTTCACGTGATGGGAGAAAAGCAGGGAGGGAGATGGGTCCAACCCCCGGGCCTGGAGCTCCCTTCTCTGCTTAGCGTCTGTGAGGTGGAAATGCTGTTAAAGTCCTCTGACGCGCAGGGAAAATGATGCCTGGGGAGCTGGCTTGTCCAAGGTCATATTAGAGGTTTCTCAAGGACACTCCTTACTGGGATATAGGACCCTCTTTCCCATTGTGCTTATTAATGCTCTAGCACCTTCTTCCATGTAAGTTTTTGAGTCCTTGTTTCCCAAGTTTACCTCCTAACCACCTCCCCTCCTGCTTTTCCTTCTCAGAAGCCATGTGAACCAGCTGAATCACTCTTAGCCAGTCACCTCCCATTCCCCACAAGCTAACACAGTGTAGGGGACACTTGATCCAACATCATGGCTGCTGTACTCACCCAGGTGAAGATGGAGAAGAACGAGAACGTGATGGCTGCTCGGGCTGCATCCCCTCCCTCATTCAATGGGTTGTCCTCTTCTTTTGAAGCTTGCCACTGGTTGGTCAGAAAGCAGAAGCCAACGAACCAGAGGAATGCCCAAAAGGCTGCGATGGACCACCACCAGCATGGCAAAGGGGAAGGGGAGAGAGATCAAGAAGGTATGTGTGAACAGAACATAACCACGTCACGTTTCTCTGGAAATTTCAACCCTATGAGAGACCCACCAATGTGTTGCAGACTGGGCCAAACTCTGACTGCGCAGCCTGTCTAAGCCCAAGTGAGCTGGCAGGCTTGCTGATGGCTAAATTGTCAAGGTGACAATAGGCGTCTGCAGAACTCAGGAGAGTCCATTTGCTTGTGTTTGGATTGATCACAGGATTTGCATTTGGCCTTGGGAAGGAGCCTGAAGGGCTTCCAGTACAGGAGCGATCACCTGGGCTCTCTGAAACAGCCACTGCTTCGCAACCCTGTCCTGCAAGGACAAGTGAAGAGCAATTCCTTCCAAGGGAGCTGCAGAAAGAGTGGGAAACAGCCGTCCTGCAGTTGCACAGAGACCGGCTTTTGCTCAGGACAGCACAGGCGGAGGGACTCACACCGAGGAAAGCTGCTGAAGGACCGTTAACATGCTGCACCCCTGGGAAAGGGGTGAAGGTAGCGGGGAGCCCCGACTCCAGACCGGCAGCTGGTGGGGAGGAGTGGGACTCACCCTCTTTGCCAGGAGCAGCCAGACACCCGGCAGGGAGGGAAACGGGCATTCCGAAGCGGCAGCGAAACAGGGCTCAGTCCCCCCCTTCCCCTTCTCTGGTTAGCTGTACGCAGGACTGCCAGGCAAGGGGCTAACAGTGAGCAAACTTGCAAGCCAGGAGTCCTAAACGAGTTCAGATGCTGCACCTGATCCTGCCCTCGCTCCACTCGTGGCCCCTTTGACAAACTGCGGGGGGGACCCTGACGTGGAGATGTTTGCCGGTGTGGTTGGAGTAATCCAGGAGAGTGTCTCGGGATCACGGCACGAGAGCAAAGTGCCTCATCGTGATGCTGCTGACTGCCGTTACACGAGCACGTACACACGCACCATCACTCTGTCCATCACTTCAACATGCTGCTGGGGATGGAAAGATCTGACTATAAGTTAGAATAAGCCTTAGGGCTGGATGAGGTCCTGCACAGCTATTCACAGGGGGAATGCCAGGTAACCTAGGAGGAATGGTTTAGTCAGCCTTCGTGAAACCCTCAACCTTTTTTTATGTTAAAATATACAGGGTTCAATCACCTGGAGCTGGAAAAGAAGGAAATACCATCTCCAGAGGCATCAACGCTTGGCCTTAGCAAGCACAAGCATGCAGGGAGGCAGGATGTCCTGATCCTAAAGGGCTCCCTGAGCTACACCTATGGAGAACAGCAGAGAGGCATCAGCCACATTGGCTGAGAAGAAGAGAAAAGGAAAGAAAAGGGGAGAGAGAGTAAGGAACCCAAAGACCTCCCTGCTAGCAGGGACCTGGCCTGCAAGGCGGCAGAAGCTCCCTCCCTCTCCCTTGCCGGTGGAGGAGAGGGGGACTGTGGCCAACCGGCCAGGAAGCTCACCCGAGACTCCGATGTCCGAGAGCACTGCCTTCTTGCGGTCCTTGACGCTGCTGATCTGCGGGAAGTAGGCATCCAGAGCCAGGTAAAGAAGGCAGCTGAGGAAGGCGAGGACACCCACGGTAATGCCATAGTTGCAGGCATTGCGATTGCGGTTGAAAATGCAGTGCTCTTGTGTCTCGTCCAGGCGGTTCACGTACCCTTCATTGACAATGGAGCCGAACACCACGATGGAGAACACCTGGCAGGGAGAGAGGCAGGAGACACATCAGGGCAAGCCCCATCTCTCTGGACCACCGCAAAGGAGCAGAGCTCTGCAGGGGACAGACACCCTTCGCAGGCACCTCTCTGCTCTGTGGAGCTCCCGTCCTGCTGCCTTGCCTGGGCTGTAGCCACGGGGAGTTTACTGGGGAGATGGTCTCATTTTGTTTCTGAGGATTAACTTAAAATAGGACACTTCTAGATTGAGCCTTTTTATCCATCTGATCTAAAGCAATGTAAAGCAGTCGCAGTCTGGAGTAAGGGTGGCTTCCCGCAGACACACAGGGAGGTGACATGGAGTGTAAACTGGGATATGGCTTTGGTGCGGGTGCCTGCATACAAGGGCTCCAAGTAGTGGAAATCCTCTTAGTCTGCACTTATTCTCCCACCCACTCCTTTCCCTTCTAGGAATTCATTGTTTCTACCACGCATTTGTTCACTAATTTTATCTATCCAGCTACCACGCTCTTTTCCCCCATCCACCCTCCCACAATGCAAGCCCTGCTTGCTCTGCAGCTCCATTCTGCCGGGCTCCCGCTCTCCCCATCTCCCCGCACATCACACACCTCTCTCCACCAGTTTTCCATCAGCCCAGCCCAAGACACTACCTGTCCTGCCCACTCACCCGTACACCGACACCCTCCCACTTTCCCCACGGATTTCATGGGCCAAACATCCCCCCCCTCCAGGTCCACCTGGAAGGGCCACCATGGGTCCTCCCTACCCGTCACCGCCACTGCCGCTGCATGTTATTTTAAATCGGGTAGAATTAAGGACGAGTCCAGGTAGAAATGCCATAATCCACAGTCGCTGGTCTAATCTTCGCTCACGGGCTTAGCCTTCGTCGCCTGCCACAAGGCTGTCCCTCTTTGACACAGCAGGTTGACCAAAGCAGAGAGCTATTTACAGCAGCCCCAGTCCTGCATCTCAAATAAACAGCTTCCCCTCACAGCCACAGGAGAAAGAGGGGAAGATTAAGGCTGCCCGTACAGATTTTTCTTTGCAGGGCATCTTGAGACCCTCAGTAGGAACAGCCCGTCTGCGGGCTGCCGGCAAGAGCCCCAGGCAGATGGGAAATGTGACCTCAAGCATGGGGAGAACATACATATGACGTGCACGAGGACGTCACCAGGGCACTCTGCTAGCCTGGGAGTTGTCTACGCAACAGGAGGTTGGCACCCTTGGAACCATCACCCAAACCCCAAGGAGAAGCAGCACATGAGAAGATGAGGTGGCCAAGTCTCCTGCAAAGAGCGGAGGTCGGTCTGAGGGTTTGCTAGGTCAGAAGGACCCTCGTACCACTTAACCCAGCCAAGCACCAGAAGAGGACAGGGCAGGCAACCCAGAAAGCAGAGAAGCAGCTTTGTGAGCACCGGGAAAATTAATGCCAACCCAATACACCATCGGTAGGGTTGGATGCCTGAGATCCACAGCACAGACCTCTGCTGTTTGACCTGTGGCATCAAGAACCCAAGGAAAAACCTTGCTCACAGTCCCCAACAGCCCTTGGGCAGATCCTCAACGCTGACCACATTTCAGCTGCCAAACTCTAACAAGTATCTACTGACACCAATATTATTTTTTCACCCCAAGACTCATAATTGGGCCACACTTGGGTTGCTGAGATTGGGTGTATTTTTTACACACTACAGCAAACTAAAAAAGCTGGAAGCCGGTGCTCCTAAGTGTGGAGACTGTATGGGTTCTCTGAAAGTTCACAAGAGCTTTTTAAGCTTAGAAGTAAAATAACTGATTTGTCCTCTTCCTCCCTCTTCTTGAAAATCAAGATTGATCATACTTTGCAGAAATTGCCCGTGAAAATTAAATAAAAATCTCTTCTGCCTGAAGCAAAGGTCTGGTCTTCAAACTTTCAGCCTGAGTGGTTTGGAAAGCAGCAAAGTTGCACACCATTACAGCCAGGTTCTTTCAGTGGGAAGTCTCGCAGATCATCACAACAGGCTGGGCTGACAGGTCTGCCTAGGACCATTGGCAGTAACACCGTGTTCCTCTAACCCGAGGGGGAGCTGACAGACTCCCGAAGCGACGTCCCAGCGTGAGGCTGCAACCAGTGCTGATGCTGCCACCTGAAGTACCAACCTCCATATATTGGGATTACAAAGTGGTGCCCCGTTTCCCACAGCATTAGACAGAAAGCGTATCTTCTCTTTGGAAGATGAGAAACAGCCTCAAAAGTGGCATAGTCTGGTGTTCAGTTTTGATTTAGGGCTCAAAACTGGTAAAACATTGATTCCCTGAGTCAGGTCAACCCTTGCAATGAGCTGTACTGCGAGTCTCTGCTTACTCATTTGGGATGAATGAACTTCTGTAATGGCCTCTCAGAGACACCTCTGTTTACTCTGCTCATATCCTGATACACATCTTCCCTCTGCTCTTATCTTTGGGTTTGCTGCTGGCCTGGAAGAGCTCTCATCTGCAAGCGAAAGCAGCAAAATAATTCCTTTTTGTATTTGCTCTTTCATACCTTTTTATGCTGGCACGTCGTAAAAACACAGCTCAGAGTCATGAGACCAGAGGGTCATCTCCCCCTCCCAAATTTTCAAGGAGAGGTGGCATTTCTAGCTTGCCACAACTTCTCTCCTATGAAGAGAAACCTGTTTTGCAGCCTGGAGGTGCCCAAGGTATGATTTACGGGCAAACATCTGATTTAAGATGATCTTAGGAGTTTTCTGGGGAGATTCCACTAAGGGTATTCTCACTCATGAGCAGAACAAGTGACTGCAGATGCTTATCTTCTGTGTCCTGAAACAGCCACCCCAAAGTACTCTTTATCCTTAGGAAAGCTTTCTACGGACCAAAGCATAGCATCTTACGGGATGTCTCCTTTCCTCGGTGTTTTCCTGGTATCAGCTCTGGTCCACGCTCCACTCCCCAGCACTGCAGAGAAGGCAAAGTCAGTGGCAGTGGAGAGGACTTGCTCCCTTTGCCAGCCTACCACCACCCTCACAGCACAGCAGAACGTTGTGAGGATCCGCTGTGCACACAAGCCTTGAGCTGGACTGGGTAACACCAACTGGGCAAGAATGGGCAGGCTCAAGCCAGAGGTTTCAGACCGGCAGGCAGAGCTGGACAGCAGGAAAAGAGGCAATCGCTGCTGCTGACAGGCAGCCCATTTTACCCCCATGATGGCTGTACCCAGGAACTGTTGTGACAGGTGCATGGACAAACAATTTTCTAGAAAAAATGATAATTATGAGATCCCAGATCTCGCAGCCCTCAGGAGAAACTGTTGCACGCTTAATCCATGGCAGCTACTTCTTGTTGGTAAGGAGGGCAGGTGGGTGGAAGCTCATGGACATAGCAAGTCATCTTAGGAAGAGCAAGTATTTTTTATTTCCTTGATTTCACAATCCATGCCTGTGCAAAGATGATCCAGGCAGCAGGTGCAGTATGAATGTCTGCCTGGATTATAAACAAAGCACCAAGTTTGAAGGATGAAGCATTTAGATTGCCATTCCCATCACATCTGCAGCACTTTCTGAAGAAATGCCAGCTACCAGCAGCACTGGCACAAGCCTCTTGTCCCTCCGCGTTACCGCTGCTTGTTCCTTCTACTCCCATTCGGCACAGCGAATCCTCACTGCGCAAAGTCTTGCCTACAGCCACTAATAAAATGATCCAAAATACGCATCCAGCTGAAAAGAGGAGGCGAGGAGAAGATGGCGGGTGCTCCTGTCCGAGCACCGAGATGCAGGGAAGCGATTTGTCCGAAGGCTGACGGGAGGCAAGCGCAAAGCACCGCATCCCGATGCTCCAGAACGCAGCCCATCCTTCCACTCTGCAGAGGGAGATCATTAGCCGCTTTCCTACGCTCGGCGATGAAAACCAGCTTTGTACAACAGGGCAGCTTCATTTCTTCAGCGAGGCTGCTTAAGTCAGTTAACAGGACTTGGACTAACTAGATTTTTTAGGTTGAGAGCGTTTCCTTAAGCCTCCGAGAGCAATGTTAATTGGGAGGTGCACGGCCTGTCTGGAGGTGTGCATTTAATAAGCAGTAATATATGCGGCTATGCTCAAAAAAAGGGACAGAAAACAGCATGTGGAGAAGATCTGACCAACTCAGCGCTGCTGCTGGGACCCGGCTTTTCTTGACTTGACCACTCCTTAAACATCGCATCCACACAGGTTGTTGCAATGATTTCCCTAGACTTCTGGTTTCATCAAAGAGCTCCAAGATACCAAGTGAAGCCCAGAGCCGGGCACTTTGCAAAGCCGACAGTGCAACTTGCCAAAAGACGCAGCAAAATGAAGTTAACATTAAGCACTGCGGGGAGGAGATGGGGAGAGGCTGAGAGTTTCCCTGTCCCGGTCTCTCAAGGGGCTCGTGCTGGCCATTACAGGAGTGTAAGGGCTCACTACAGTGAAAAAAGTGCAGAACAGGCAAAAGACTGCATCCCACCATAGAAGACCTTTTTTTTTTTTCTTTCTTTCTCTCACTGAACTGGGTGATCTGATTTTGCCAGAGGCAAAGGCAAGAGATGAGCCCTCAGAGGAGAGGCTCTCCGGTCCCTCCCCACCTCCCTGCTGCAGGCTCAGCCCCGCAGAAAGCCAGGCGAAACCTCCTGAGCATCATGTGAGGCTTTCCACCACGCTGCGCATCAGACGTTCCTGAGCATCATGTGATGGATGCACAGCACGGCCAGCCGCCGGCGGTGCACCAGGATTTTCCTGTACCTCATCCCAGGAGTTTGTCACGCTGCCTCCTGACTTCATCCCCGAGATCCCCATGATGGTCGTAGCGGGGATGAGGCTGACGAGGGTTTCTGTCGAGCCGCCTGCATGGGCTCGCTGCGGTGCTCTCTGGTCACGGGCTCTGTCGCACTGCGTGTCGCCCCTCCCTCTCCCAAATCCCCTTTTTATTCTATTATAGAGAGGAAATAGTTTGGTGACATAATATTCCTTGTAGGACTTCAAATCAAATCTACCTCGGGCAGAATGAAGCAATAACCTCTTCTGTATCCAATCTGGTAACAACCAGGAATAAATCTG